GGGTTGGGAGGGGGGGGGGTCACCACCTCCACAACGGGCGTGGGGATGATGCGACGCCGATCACCCGACCGCTGTGACCCTGTGCTGTAAGCGGGGGCGGAGCCGGGGGCTAATGTTAGCCTGCTTAGGGGGTTACGCGCTCTCGCACTCGTCGGGGAGGGACATCGGAGGGTTGCTGCTGCTGCTGCTGTTCGAGCAGGATTCGTTATGAGTAAGACGCGCCCGCAGTGGGAGCGTCGACACCCCCGGGGCAGCGGGCATCAGCCGATTCTGTCTCTGCCTCACCTTTCTTTCACTCTGCGTCTCTCTGTCTCTCTCTCTCTCTCTCTCTAATTATTTATTACTTATATTTTATTATCTCTTATGTCCATAACATGTACTACTTGTTCAGTGGCAATAAAACTCAAACTCAAACTCTCTCTCCCCTCTCTCTCTCCTTTCTCTCTGGGGTGCTATCATCGCCACCAAGGGGCGTCAGCCCCACCGCTGCGCGGGGTGGGGTTTAATTTTAAATACCCCGCCCCTCGTCAAGGTGGCCCTCCGCCGACTGGGCCCTGGGCCGGGCCGGACCTCGCAGTGGCACAGGACCCGGCCCTCCCAGAATCGGCTCGACCCTCCCCGCTCTTCCCATGGGGACCGGGGCCGGCTGGGACGGAGGCGCACCTGCGGTCGGTGGATGAGCTGGCGCCGATGGACGTCACGGGGTGGCACTCTGTACTCACATTGTACTCATGTGTAAACCGGTGTACTCATCTGTGATCACGTGTACTGGTGTCTATTCAGGGGTACTCCTCACATTGACTCGAACCATGAGTATACAGCTTACCCAGTATTCAGTGTAATTCGTATTCACCGTACACTCAGTCATACCCGTGCCCGTGGATTTCTTTGCCTAGGGTTCCACGTATGTGAATGCATAGGACCCCTAGGCCGTAACTTGAATGCACTGTGTAGATTTTAAGTTTGTGTTTAAGAAATAGAGTAAACCGTAGATGTATTTGAACTAAACACAATTGTGTTAACGTTATGTTAAACCATTTTACTTTGTGAAAAACACTTGCAGCTTCGAATTACAAAATGGCATTGAACCGAATGCCTCTAGTGAGTTGCCTCCCTACTCGATATAGGACGAGAGCACTGCTAACGCCGTGGTCGCCTATTTTGCCAAAATGTTAGCAGTCCTTTTTGATTGCCAAATTGCCAAATTTTGGTCGTCTTTTCAGAGGCAGCAAATTTTTGGCCTCATTGCTTGCCAAAAGTTGGTCTTCTTTCAAAAGAAGGCCAAAATTTGGCAATCAAAAAGGACTGTCAACAGTTTGGCAAGTTAGGCGACCGCGGCGTTAACAGTGAGTGCCAAGCAAATGACATATTTAAGTTTTAAATGTAATCTGCTGCTAAAAAAAAGTCATAAGATTTTAGTGAGCACTCTGTGTAAAACGATTAAATATTTGCTCGCCGATCACGTTTGCAGTCGTGTGCCGCCCCCTCTCCCGGGTCCAGAAATTACACCGGCGGATCGGATCCGGCCCGGCGCAGATCGGCCTGGTCAGCGTTATCCGGCGGTCCTGCTCATGCAGCACACTCCGTGACCCGGACGGTCTAAATGTTTCAGAGATAGACAGTGCCCGCGGCATAACAGCAGGGGCAGCGGCGCCGGTAAATCCGTTGAAAGCATTTCCACATCACCTGCCGTCTCTCTCTCTCTCTCTCTCTCTCTCTCTCTCTCTCTCTCTCTCTC